CCCTCATGGCTCAGGCCAACTTTGAATATTGCTCTTAAGCCTTTTCTCCATTGAAAAGCATACGGCTCCAGCCTCCAGGTGGCCCCAGGGCCCAGACAGGAAATGAGCACTTCTTCTGGAGCACAAAAGTATCACTCAAGGCTGAAAAATTCATGTCCTTTGATTTGGGAAAGGGGATATGGCCATTTTCTACTCCCAGACTGCAGGCTCCCAACTGAAGTGGTCATATTACATCAACAGAAGTGACCACAGGCCTGAACACTCCCGGCCGCTCCAGCTCCTCGCGGGGAATCTCGCAGGTCCGGGCAGGGCCGCCCCCACTTACTGACACGCTGTGGTGCAGTTCGTCACTTGAACACAGCCTTTGGGACTCACAACACTTTTCACTTAGAAAACCACTTACCATGGGGGTCTGCTTCCCACCTCAGGCCAGAGAAGCCTATTTCACCCTTCATGTGGCCCAGCTACTCTAAGCCTGAACTGCCATTTGTTGTCATTCTTTTTTCCTTGGGGAAAAGCGTTCCAGGTCTGGTTGGGGACACTAGCAATACGCCACCTGTCTCCTCCATCGCCATTTATGGCCGAGGAAGATGCGGCTCACTTCCTTCTGACCAGGTGCCATGTGTGTTACATCGGGGCCTGGTTAGCTTGTGAGAATGCCCTGTCAGGGGTTGGGGACAGGAGCAGGGACTGCTGCTGTGCGGGAAGGGACAGGCCTGGAACACAGCAGAATGCTGCTCGTGGTCTCAAGGTGGCCGAGGCTGGAGGAGGGGACAGCCTGTAGGCGCCCAGGGCGGGGCCCCTCCCAGGCACACATCTGTGTTGCTGCTTCTTCACCCTCTGCCTACTGATGGTGACAGCTCGGGAGTGACCAAGCATCAGGATACACCGTGGGGACACGCAGACATGGCTGCTGGCCACAAGTCGGGCTCCAGGACGCGCTCCAGCGGGAGGCCTCCCCCTCCTTCCCTGAGGCACTCACATTCACATCCGGGCGGAGCTTGATGAGAAAGCGCTTCCTCTTGAAGCTCAGCTTCCGCACCTTTGCCCAGTTGAAGGCATTGATCTTAGTGAAGCCCTGAGAAGGAAAGTATCAGCCAGTGAGCCTGGAAACACGTAAGAAGCAACATGACTGGGGGCTGGCTGGCTTTGTTCCCAGGGAGCTGAAAGGACTGATGTGCGACTGCTCGGAAGGATGCCTCTTGCTGGAGAAATCCCAGGACCCGCAGCACTGGGATGACACCCGTTCCCTGCCTGGATCAGTACTTCTCACTAATTATATGATTCGGCGTTCAGACTGAGTCTGCTGCCAGGGAGAGAAGAGGCTGGCCAAGGGGCTTGCTAAAGAGAAAGATAAATACAAATAAAAACCATGGCAACCACCACAAACAATTATTAGCGACCATCACCAACGGGGTGCCGGGTGCCATCCCGAGTCCATTACAGACCTTATCTCGTCAAGCCTGACACAAAACCCAGCCAGCTGGATTTATTATCTCCCTTCTACAGATGTGGAAACTGCAGCGTGGCTGGATTTTAATGTGTCCCAAATCACACAGTTACCGAGGCAGAGCGAGATTCCTGGGTGTGGGCCCGAACCAGCAGCCGTGCTTAATATCCACAGCGGCAACACAGCAGGGAGCCACCACCCGCTTTGTCCACACTAGTCTGGCTCCCATGCCCAGGGGGCTTCCAGCTCGGAAAGGTCTGGGGAGGGGAGGCCCCACCCCCAGGTGTCTTCCTGGCCAGAGTTGTCTCCAGGAGGGACACACACTGGCACCTTTGCTCGCCAGGTCGTGGTGGAATACCAGCGGAGAGCTGCCAGACACCAGCCCCCATCTGCCCTGTCATCTCAGCCGAAATGAGAATGCCTCTCGAGCCCACTTGAACACCAGGACCACTTATTTAAATTGGTTAGGATGGAGCAATTAGGCACCGACCGGAAGATGAATTCCCAGATACAGGCTTTGTACGTGACTGCACTCCTGAGCAATTCTCAACATTCAGACTATCCAACACAATCAAAGCAAATTAATTCAGCTGTCAGGCACTTCTTATCTCCATGATTTTTAGAAATGTTTTAAGGGTTTTAATTTTGAAATGGAACAGCAGGACTGAAAACTACATTGTTTTATTGTCCTTTTGCTCATCAGGGACTCCAGGATTATTTCTGTAGGTCGTTAACTGTTAGGGACAGTCAGCTCTTCAAATACCACACTGCTCTCAAAATGTCACTCCCTAGTGTCCCACAGGAAACTCAGCCTCAACTGCTCTTGGGCCATGAATCTGAGGCAATTAACATCCATCATAAATAACTGATACAGGGACAGAGAATCCCTGGGGTTATTTCAGTAAAATACAAAGCAGGAAATGCAACCCAACCCGGCAGAGCTCAAAAAAAAAGTTTCAGGTCATACACCTTTAGAGCTGGGTGAAAGCTGACCGTCTTTCATGAAGAAGGCAGAAGCTTTCTTCCTGCCCCTTTGAAACCGAAGCACGGATTTATCCACTTTTGTTTAAAACAAAAGCCTTGAGGGATATGTTGTTCAGCACAGGGAACATAGCTAGTATTTTACGACTTTAAGTGACGTATCATCTGTAAAATCTTCAATCACTATGTTGTGCACCTGAAACTAATATAATATTATAAATCAACCATATCTCAATTAAAAAAAATTTAAAAAACCAAAGTCTTGAGGAAACTTTTGGGATGGTGAATACGTTCACAGTCTTGATTTCATTGATGTTTTCACAGGATATATATATTTGAGAACTCATGTTTAAGAATGGTTACACTTTAAATGTGTACATTTTATTGTGTGTCAATTCTTCAACGGAGTTGTTACGAAAAAGAGATGCACTAATCAATGAAACAGTACAGCAGCAGTGTGGCCAAGGGGGCACGCATTTCCGAGTACAATGTCATGTCCTTATACAAAACACAGGTAAGGATCCATAAGCTGTAGGTGTTCTGCTGCAAAATTACAGCAGGACGTGGCTGTAGTTTCTATGAATCTTCCAAGTGCATACTATACTTTAAAAATTTTTTTATTAAAGTGCAGTTGATTTGCAATGTTAGTTTCAGGTGTACAGCAAGGTGATTCAGTTATACATACACACACACACATATATATATATTTTTCTTTTCAATTCTTTTTCATTATATGTTATTACAAGAAGTTGAATATCATTCCCTGTGCTATACAGTAGGTCCTTGTTGTTTATCTATTTTATATATAGTAATGTGTGTCCGATAATCCCCAACCCCTAATTTACCACCCCCGACCCCACGCTCTTTCCCCTTTGGTAACTACAGTTTGTTTTCTATGTTAGTAAGTCTGTTTTTGGTTTGTAAATAGAATTTGTATCATTTTTTAAAGATTCCACATATAAGTGATATCATGTGATGTTCCTCTTTCTCTGTCTGAGTTACTTCACTCAATATGATAATTTCCAGGTCCATCCATGTTGCTTCAAACACGCTACACTTTTAAGTTAGGTAAATGTGAAACCACAAATAAGCTGACTTAGGTAAAACACAAATTAGGTTTAAAAAAAAAGACCAGATGAATACCATATTTAAGTGTGAAAACGGTGTTTATCTGGGGGTCTGAAATCTTGACTCCATTACACTATGTTCCCAGCAAAGGTTCACAGAGAGATCCAGATCTCTGTGGTCCTACAAAGTCAATAAATGCCAACAAATCTGTAACTGTGGATTCCCCAACCAGACCCAGGGCAAAGGAAATCAAATCGGGAAGCTGAGAGCAAGGGAAGAAACGGGAAACCCCAAGACAAGGTCAGTTTTCCCCTATTCACCTAAAAAACAACTAAAATCAGAGGTCTTGGCTGGGACCACCCAGCATGGAATCAGAGTCTAGGGACCAACTCTTATCTCTCCATTGCCAAGGGAACCAAGCAGGCCTCTAAACGCTCTTACCTGAAACACTAGAATTCCTGTGTTCGCCACAGCCAGGTTGATCTTAGTACCTTCCCGGTCCTTAGCCGGGTACAATCGGATCCCATACATCTCCAGCCGACGGGCAATCTCCAGGAGCTGGAAATCCGATTCTGCTGGTGTTTGTCCACTGACAACACAAAAATTAAAGAGAAAGGCCAGGAGATTTGAATTCCCTGTGTCTAATAATTTGAGATTAAGCACCTTCTCTTGGGAAATAAAAAGGCATTTCATCACAAACAATGGGGCCACCTGATCAGATGACACCCAACCTCCCATTCATTATAACCCAAAGTCGAGCAGCTAGAACAAAAGCTCTATTGCTCGTGTAACACAAACCCCCCCAAGTCTATCTCATACTCGGCCAGCTTTTCAGAATCTCAAAGAATTTCCTTTAAGGTCATATAAAAGCTAAACACCACTGTGTGAAAACAAGTTTGCAGTCACTTATAACAGCCCTAAACTTGCAAAGTTCAAGGCAACACTTTCATGCTATCACCAAGACTCAAGTGCCTTCCTTAAAACAACAACAAAAACAAAAGGCTTTGAAAATATTTGATCGATCAAAACAAAAAACAAAAGAGACAGTACAAAGGTTCTCCAATTTCACAATCTTCTCTGCCCTCCCACCCCACAATAGTCTTAAATTGTCCCTAGTCTTCCATGTCCCCGTTCTGATTTCCCAGGACTTGGTCTTATCCTCTTCCTTTCACTCCAAAGATGGGGTGTCCTAGAATTCCAAGGTTACTCTGGTCTCCCAGGAAAGCAAGCAAGGAGCCGAGAGTCTGGTCTTGAGTGGGTAACCTGCATTTCCAAGAGCCCAGGATGAGTAACAACACTCACGGGAGCCTCTGTGCTCCACTCCCTCACTCTTTGCATATTTCTTCCCAGTAGTCACTGTGTGTGTGTGTGTATGTGTGTGTGTGCACACCCACATACATTAAAGGACAGAGAGAAACAGCTCAAAGGAAGTTGGAAGCAACGAAGGAGACTTACATGTGGTTATGGTGAAATTCCACAATTTTGTCCTCTAGGGCATCTTGCTGAGGTATGTACTTATTTTTTGCTAAATGCTCTCTGTCCGATGCTTCATCAAAATCCCCAATCTCGGCTACAAAGAAAGAGGAAAAGAAAAACCAGCCACATATGATTAATACCTCACAATCTGTTCTATTCCCAGTAGACCGTTGCTCAACTAGTAAACTGGAAAAACCAGCCGACAACGTAAGGCAATTCCAGCTGGTAGGTATCATAAGGGCTGGATATGGAGGATGTGGATGCAGGGACACATTTAAGAACGCTGCTGTGATGTAAGATGACAGTTTCCACTTTGTCTCATCTCTACCAGTTGGGAAGAAAACTTCAGAATCATCCATCTTCCGCCATCCACGTTCCTGGTTTCTTTCCTTCCTCCCCAGCCAACTAGGGGTCACTTCTATTTCAGGCAATAAATTCTTGGTATGTGAAGGCCTTCTGACTTCTAAAAAAGCCCCAGAATTTCAGGACTTGACACAATCAACTTTGGAAATGCACATATGACAATCGTGAGTGCAAACCCCAAATGCTTTATCATGTAGAGAAAAGATGGTTATAAATAAGGGTAAAGGTACCTAATCAAATTCAGCAAAAATAAATGAAAGTTTGTTAAATTTCATGTAATTCTGTTGTCGGAAATGATCAGTCGGATTGAAAATTCTTATACATTTTTCATCTTCAAGAAATAGGAGGTGTATTTTTCTTGGGTAACCTCAACATAGTCCCCAAATTGCTGCCATCTGGAAATTTAAAGGATAGAGCTTTAAAACAACTGTCCCTTAACGACACTAGCTCCAAGCTCAGGCAATAGCAGTTTATTACAGCTGGGACCGTGTACCTTCTCACGTAGTCTGTGCAACAAGCTTAATAAAAGTAGCCTAAGTGGCCGGAGCCCAGCTGTTTAGAGTAAAAGCGAGTAAACCACTGCTATGAAACCTACTGTTCGCTTTGTCACCTGAAGCAGCTTGTCACATTTTGGGCAATGCACTCCCCCTATCATCACGCAGGATGTGGCCTCTATGTGGCTATAAATCACATCCAATGAGAATATTTACTTTGCACCAAACAGCGCCAACTCACCTGGCACCTGCAGGGGGCCACTGGAAGCATCACTCACTTACCAGCCCCCCCGCTGCTACGGCCAGTCAGTAACATTACTTCCTCATTGCCCTTCCTGAAAGCGTTTCGCCCTAAGGAAAGCTGGCGCCCTCCATCGCAAACAACAGCACAGAAGTGGGAGGACCTCCTTGACACACTGCCACCCTCAGTGGTCGCCTTGATGATGGTGGCACTGTCCTTTCTGTACATCCTTCTATCTGGCCTTAAGAAAGCACAGTTCATCTCCTTATTCATGGTCATGGTGCTATATAAAGTCCTCGCAAATAGCGAATCCGTGCACACTAAACCACTGTTCCCAGTGGGAATACAGGGTTAGGTTCCTGTGAGACTTGAAACATTTTATCAATTGACCTTGTTTTATGTGTGTTTCTCTAGAAGGACATCCTACCCTTTGTACCTCGGTGATTCATTAACATGGAACCTACGGCCAGTGTGTCTACCGCACTATATATCTCACACCTGAATGAAGCTTATCCTACCCTGCTGTTTGTTTTCTCCCTAAAGCACATCAAAACCTCCCTGCTTTTAGGGACACTACACAGCACTCCAGCAATGACATTTGGGGGCCATTTCAAACAGGGAAATCACCAACAAAAAGCAGAGAGATGTAAAAAGCATGGCACTAAACAGATCACAAAAAGGACACTTGTTTATAATCTGATAGCTGAAAACAGGAACACAGAGGGTCACCTCGTTTGACCTCAGCTGGGGAGACGTGTGTCAGGGCAACTTAAATTTTTCACCATCTTGTGCATGTTTACAAGGCACCATGAAAGCACTGAAAGTGCTGATTCTGGGGTTACAAATAAATTTTAGAGAGTTGGTGAAATTGCAAACATGAAATCTGCAGTCATGAAAACAGACTGCAAATTGGGGGGGGGGGAGGTGGAATTCACCTAACAACTTAAAACTCTTAATGAGCTTTAATCTTGGGTTTCTTAACACATATGAATTTTATAACACAGTCTTCTCCATAATTCGACATCAAAGAGTCAAGCATTCCAGTTTTCCCTTTGGCATCGGGGCCAATACACTTGCTTTCCACTCCTAAAATGCAAGGGCAACACATGACTATGAAATCCACTTTCTCCCATGTGCTCTCTTCTCAGAAATATGGGAAACAGGCACTTTTATGTGCCTGGAGAGTTTAAGAACTGATCAATGTGCAATATATGACCTACTATATATTATTTAATTTATTAGATACTACATATTAGCTGCTGTACATAATAAATTCCTTAGCAGTCCACTCTCAGCAAAAAAAAAAAACAGGAAAAACAACAATCCCCAATCCTGTCATTTTACCAAATGAAATCTTGGTAGGACAAGCTTGGACAAACTGGTTCTGCCAGGTATAATGGGTGGAGACACATATGACCTGCAGGTGTGTGGCCCCCCTCATGCCTCCCTGTGACATGAGTGGTCCCCTGTCTAGTGTCTGAGTCTTCTCTTCATCAGCTTGTCCCACTTGGTCGATTCATAATAAATTAGAGAAAATTAAAAGTCTGAAATATATACAGGGGATATCTAAGCCCACCCACAGAGGAGCAGATGAAAAAAAATAAAGGCTATCTGAAAGATGACTCTGTGAATTCAAATGAAAGGGAGAAAAATTAAAAAGAAAATTCAGATTGTATATATAGAAACAGGTGAGATGAAAATCCTGCTCATTAGAGAAAAATTTCCATCAGCGTTAATAGTGCTTCTGCAGAAGGTGGACAAGCTGACCCCTCAGACCTCAATGATATTGTAAATAATTATCAATAACTTAAATGCACATGCTATTCACAGAGGACTCTGAAATTTCTCCTCCCATGACAGAATGTCTGGGATGCTTACAAATACAGAAATGGGGCTTTGTAAGGATAAGATTATAGGAATATTGTGTCACACAACGGCATCAAATAGTATGCAAAAAGCAGACCTTCCGAGCCCGTCGATTTCCGCTGGAGAATGCAAGACTCTCGGGATTCTGAGCCCCTTGTTGGCATCTGGGGATGAAGGATCTATCAGAACAAGCACACAGTTTTCCAGATGCCAGTGCACCTCCACTTCCCATATGTGTGAGTAAGAGTCACTCTATTAACAGACTTTAAAAAGGAAGGAACGTGGGAGGAAGGAGGTATAAGACCAAATGGCATCAGGAATTGTTGAGTCTAGCAGATTTCTCTTCTGCTCACCCAAAGCCCAGGGCCAGAGACATTTTCCGAAGTTGCTATTCTAATAAGGAAGCTTTATTTAAAAATTTCCCATTGTTTGGAAAGGGAGGGGCACGGGTAAGTGAGGATAAAGAAAGGAGAGTATATTTATAGAACACTTAATATATACCGAATGTTTATGCTATCACTTAATATTCACAGCCTTATGAGGAAGATTCTATTAATCCCATGTTGCAAAAGAAATAGCGGTTGAAGGGTGAGTAATTTGCCAGGGTGAGCTAACAGAGACCAGGTCAGTCTGATTCAAAGCCCTCCGCTCTCCCCCATCACGGCATGAAGAGGCAAGGCCAAACACGGGAAAGGGAAAAGTGACAGAACTTTCTGTGACAAAGCGTCCTCATTTGTAAAATGATCTCACGGGGTTGTTATGAGAATTAGACGAGATAATATACAGAGAACTGGAACATAGCTCAGTTTAATAAAAGTTACATACTTTTTGTCTTTTTCTCACATCACTTTTGTCAAATTAATAAGAAAACATCTATCTGCTAAGTCTGGTAGATATTGAACAATGCCCATGTACAAGAAATAACAAGATAAGCATGGTCTCTAAAAATACCTGGCCGTCTGAGACTAAGGTAACTGGTTGATTACGGGGAGTGACACTTTCTACCAACTTTCGGAAATCTTGCTAACTGGGCAATGATCTGAACAGGATGTGGCTGATTATATGGGACTGTTTTGTATACAACAGAAACTTTAAAATTAGGTAACAGCACAATTTTTTTTGTCCTAGTGCTTATATATGTCGACCTTGGTCTATATACATAATTTCCTTCCTGAAACCTGTGTTTATTCCATTTCAAGTAAGTTCCACCTTGATCAAGAGGAAAAAGATCGCCCAGGTGAATCATCATAAGCCTTCGAAGGAGCACAATCTAATTTATCCTTTGTCTAGATGAAGAAAGTTAAAACATTTAGTTTTAAGCTTCACTTAGACTCAGTCCAGCTTCATGTGTCTTGGTTTACTGAACTCTAGAGCAGAATCCAAGTAGCGAAATCTTGACAGTTTTATGTGTGAAGGCAAATGTGTATTCAATGACGAACGTTAAATCCAAGAATAGGGCAGAACAAGTTTAGTCTCCTTGGCCACTGTCCAGCCAAGCTTCTCCTTTGAGTCAACTGACTTATCAACAATTGCGTCTCGTCCTTGAAAGAGCAGACAAACACCAGGACAAAGGATTCCCGGGTCAACCTTTGTCAGGGTGAGAATGTGAAATCAAGTTTTGTTTCCTACCCATCAGCATTCGTGCTAACAGCAACATAACACAAAGGCATTGTTACTGGGTGGGTGTCGTTTCTTCCCCCTTCAAGCAGATCACTATGTTATTTCCCACATGCTTTCTGAAGGAAGCCAACAGAACTCACATTGCACAATGTGTGAGATCAAGAGGGCAGCGCTGGTGTCGTTACACGTCAGCCTGCCTTGAGCCAGGTCCTGCTTCACTTGCAGGGCAAACAGGTACCTGCAAACACAATGGAGACGGGAGTCATTTACACAGAGATGAGGTCATTTACATAGAGATGGCATCATATACATAGACTAGGCTGTAAGCAAAGAGGGCGGGGAGGTCTGGCTCACTTCCGGCAACCTGTCCGCCCATGGAAGACCTAAAGAAAGGTATATAAACCAAGGAATAAAAAAGTCTGCACGGGCAGGAACGAATTCCTGGTGCTACTGCCTGCAATGTCAACATTCACACTCCCTAAAAGCATCGGGAGACACATGCTGTAATCTTGTCACATGATGAGCAATGCATTTCATTTTATACAGAGAGCTACAGCCATAAGCAACGAAGACTATAACTTACCACCCTATATATTTTTGCAAGGTATAGTAAACACTTCAAATTTTTTCACAGATCAGTTGAACACACTAAAAACTGGCTTTATGATAACAGTAGGTTATTATGGTTAGAACAAGTTTTGCCAATAGAATTGGAAACCCAAGACTATCTTTTTTTTTTTGTGGTGTAATACTCACTCAGCTTTTTCCATAAGCTTCAGCTGCCAGAGGTTAAATAAATCAACTCAAGTTATTTAAAAACTCTTTTCTTTACATAATAGAATAAAGCAAGTAAACACGTTTGGTCAAGGAGAAAATAGGTACTTTATAAATCAAAGAAATCAAATAAAACCAATGTGATGCTAAAATCGATTTGAAAATATCATTATGAACATTTTTTTTTTGAAAGAAATTTGCCAGTTTTGCCCACTGTCTAGAAGCAGCCTTACTTCAGCAGCAACCCTTAGCAACCCGATTCTGGCTCTCGTACAATTCCCCACAGGAAGGGTAAAGAGGTAAGCCCTTGAACAAACGGTGGATTCCAAATGCGGGGTAGAGAAAGTACAAAGTAGCCTGGAATATCTACTTATGCCAGAGAGCAAGGCAGCTTTCAAATATAAATGGTTTGTATAAAAAAAGGGAAAAAATCTTGAAGGGGCGTTCCACCGGCCAAAGCCGGGACAACCTGAGTAGCAACAGAAGGATTAAAGTGAACTGAAACACAATTGAAAGGACATCTAGGGACAAAAGGGGAAATCTGAGTATGGCAAGATGAGATGAAAAGATGAGATGACATACGTATGCAGAGAAAAAAAAATCAGAAACGCTACTCGCTGTGGTGTCTGCAGTGCTCATCTCTGGGCAGCAGGATTACGGTATTTTTAGCTTCTCAGTCTTGTTTATCTGTATATTCTAACTTTCTACACTGTACATGGACTACTTTTGTAGTAACAAAAAGTTCCTTTGAATTAAAAAAAAATAAGGGCTTTTATCAAGACTAACCATAGAGGTTTCCTTAAGAATTAAATGGGATAATACATAGAAAGCATAGTGACTAGAACAAAAACATTCAATACATGCTGGGAATTCTTTTATAAAAAAACATCATTTAGGAAACTCTATTATGAAAAACTAAAAAACTACAGAGACGTTCTGTAACCAGAAAAAAACCAAGATAAAAAAACCCCCAAAATCCCCACAGATCCACCAGTTGACAACAGTTGACAACAGCTGACCTTTATCCAACCCCCCTAATGTTTATTCATTCTCTGCCTCTGTCTCTATGTCTGTCTGTCTCTTTCTCCCTGGAGAGTCAAAGCGGAGAAAAGCAGAGAAAATAAAACCACCACAACAGCAGCACATAGATTCACGTGGGAAGAAGCGGCACAAACCGTCTCTCTGGATTAGGCAGTGGTTACTGGTTTTTGAAGCCAACACTTCTTAGAACTACAGGCTTTATTTTTTATCTGTGTGGTTAATTTTTAAATAAGATAGAAGAATTTATGTTTGAAAAGCATGGCATTCCGAGTATGTTCCCAGCTACCAGTTCAAACGCAGGGTCCTGTGTTCAGGGACAGACTCAGGCTTTGGGGCCCTCTGGTGGGGGTCTCATGTGGGCTGCGTGTTTAGTTAGAAGGCAAATGCTGAAGGCTGTGGGAAGAGCTTGTCTCTCCCTGATTATGCTGACTCGTCCTGTTCTAAGGCCCCTGTAATACGAGAAAGACCTTCCTGGGCGTCGACTCTCGTCCTCTCTTAGCAGCAGCTGTAAGTCAGGCGCGCTGGCTGCAGAGCTAACTTCAGAAATTCAGTAGCACCTTTCGTACTACAGACTGAAGCAAATTCCAGTCAAATTCACCCGAAGTGCTCCAAACGGAACGAACTTTCCTTGGCAGAAGGGTGGGCGTGTGGAGGAGGCGACAACGGTAGTGGGGCCCGTCAGAGGACTGCCACTTCTGGGGCCCGCAGGGGTTGCACATCACAGCAATCTGATGCCACGTTCTGAACATGTCCATTGCAGTCTATTTCATTTGATCTTGCTTTCCTTATTCAGCGTCGGTTACACTTTCTCTGCCGGCCAAAGGACAATGCTGCAGCAGGCCCTGCGTAGCGGCAAATTCGGAGAGGCCCCCTCCACCTAGAAGAACACAGTCAAGTAGAAACCGGATGGCCCTGAAGACGGGATGCTCAGAGAGAAGCACGTCCGGCCTCGCTGGCACAGCAAAGTGACTCAGAGCTCTGCCCAAAGGAAGCCTGGTAACTTCTCTTCCAGAGACTCTTCCCCTGCTGTTTTAAACTTCCACCGAAGAGTCAGTACTTGCCTCCTTCTAGAAGCCTGGGCCCTGGTGTCGGCAGTACAAGAGTTCTACTGAAAGTGCAGCTCAATAAATAGAAAGGAATTCAGCTTCTTGTTTAAGAGCAAAGTGCAATTCAATCTTCTATCTATATAAATGAGAAGCAGAAAGCTATTCCTGGAGGCCTGAAGAATTAACTACAGCTTCAAGGCACTTAAAGTCTGCGGAACCGCAGGCCCGTTCCTGTCTGTCTCACTCTTGTCCACACGTCCCCTGCCTAAAGTACTTTCCATACAGAGCTTCTCCCAAACCCTCCCTCGCCATCTGCCAAGGAAAACTGCCTGGAATCTCAATGGTCACATCATTGAATTTCTGCCAAAAACAGAAATTTGAAAGTGTGGGAGTCAAACACACTGGACCTGGGAGGTCCCCTTCCTGTCCCACCTTGAGACAAAGGGGAAAGTGGCAAGGAGCTTCTAAATTTCCTATCGACTTCATCGTCCTTGAGCCAGAAGGATTCTCTCTTCGGAAAAGACTTATTAAATGCTAGTGAACACTGGGAGCCAGCAAAGAGATAACAAAACCCGGAACCTACTCTGTCCAGCCAAGCTTGTGTCACTTGAGGAAGTTATTGCACCGGATGGGGCAGCTGGCAAAGTACCAGGCACACGGCTTCATGGTACCAAGTTGTATGGAATTTTATAACAACGACCAGGATGGCAGACAAGCACAAACTTCTAGAGATGATGATGCACAAAACTGGAAAAGGGGCAAAACTCGTGGCAAAAATAGAAAACGGAGAAAGTTTGAGGGGAGGACTTATGCTACCAACTTCCTAAGCAGGATGAAGGCTTAGTGAGACGTAGGAGAAAAAGACACACCGCTGACCGACAGCTGGACTCGCCTGTGGATTCATCTCGATATTCCGAGCTTCAAGCAATGCATGTGCCAATAACAGGAAAACCAGCCCCAGAAACTGAGACAGAAGCCCTGAAAATGACACCAAATGAAGATGCAACTGCATTGGCGCCCCCGGCTGGGAGCTCGGGGTAGCAGCCCCAGCCGTCTCTCCTTTACGTGAAGCATCCTAGCCGACAGCAGGTAGGTCTCAGAAGTGGTCCTAGCCACTTAACTGCTTCACTAACTAGAGGGACATAAGCGGAGGTAAACCATTAGTGAGGACTCGTTCTGAGCACGTGAAGCCCTGGGCAGAGCCTCTGCCAACCCTACTTCCTTGAATCGCCTGTTTGAGTGCCCGGTGCCCTTTCTGACACAGCCACGGGATGCCCAGCAGGGACCACCACCGAGACCTGTAGAACAAAACTCCTGACTCTCCACCCCTTCCCCTTCAAGTCATCACCCCCTGCTCAGTTGCCTAAGTCAAAAATTTAAACCTCCCTTCTACTTCCCTCAGTCTCCACCGTCAACCCACCACAAATTCAGGCTGACCTCACCTCCAGCACACATTCCAAATGCAACCACTCTCTCCATTTCTACTCCTCTCACCTCCTTTGGTGCCGCTGCCATCATCTTGGCCTGGGTGACTGCAGCCTCTTCCTCACTGTCCTCCGCCGCCTGGTCTCCACGGCAACTAATCTCAACACTATGTACCATCGGGCCTCTGCTTCACCTCACTGCACTCTGCCCTCTACATCCCTGCCATGCACACAGGCCCTCTCTTAAAAATTTGAATATCTGGAGCTTGTTTCTGCCTTGGGCACTGCCTGCTGACCTGCCTGGAAGGCTCTTCCTCCAAAAATGACTGACAGTTCCTGTCACTTCCTCAGACCAAGCACTGTAATGTTGTTGCCCAGGTACCATCCATCACATCACCTACTTCAATTACCTACAGACCTCTTACGATTATCTGATATTTTCCTTGTTTATTTAATCACCGTCTGTTCCCATGAGAGTCAGGCCTGTCTTCATCGGTATCTTCCCCGTCCCTAGAACGAGGCTTTCCCACAGAGTGCCCTTCATCAATACTGTTGCCTGCATGTCTTCATCCCTTTAATAAATGATAGTCAACCACCCAAGATACTGTGCTCTGACCAAGAGGGATGAGAAAGCAGTGACAGACTTTGATATGACAGCTAAAGCTTGAAACATGTGTGGCAAGGATCTGGCTGGTCAGACTAGTGTCCTCATGAGGGAAAGCACCCTTGAAAGGTGAGCATTTTATCTTCCTGTGTTCCCACCAGGCTCCACTCTCTGTGTCTTGCTGCAAATTATAAAATGGGTAGCAGCAG